GCCAAGAAAATATTCCCCACACCATTACACCACCACCACCAGCCTGAACCGTTGATACAAGGCAGGATGGATCCATGCTTTCATGTTGTCGACGCCAAATTCTGACCCTACCATCTGAATGTCGCAGCAGAAATCAAGACTCATCAGACCAGGCAACGTTTTCCAATCTTCTATTGTCCAATTTCGATGAGCTTGTGCAAATTGTAGCCTCAGTTTCCTGTTCTTAGCTGAAAGGAGTGGAAAGGAGCAGAAGACCACCCGGCGTGGTCTTCTGCTGCTGTAGCCCATCTGCCTCAAAGTTCGACATACTGTGCGTTCAGAGATGCTCTTCTGCCTACCTTGGTTGTAACGGGTGGTTATTTGAGTCACTGTTGCCTTTCTATCAGCTCAAACCAGTCTGGCCTTTCTCCTCTGACCTCCGGCATCAACAAGGCATTTCCGCCTACAGAACTGCCGCTCACTGGATATCTTTTCTTTTTCGGACCATTCTCTGTAAACCTTAGAGATGGTTGTGCGTGAAAATCCCAGTAGATCAGCAGTTTCGGAAATACTCAGACCAGCCCTTCTGGCACCAACAACCATGCCACGTTCAAAGCCACTCAAATCACCTTTCTTCCCATACTGATGCTCGGTTTGAACTGCAGGAGATTGTCTTGACCATGTCTACATGCCTAAATGCACTGAGTTGCCGCCATGTGATTGGCTGATTAGAAAAAAGTGTTAACGAGCAGTTGGACAGGTATACTTAATAAAAAATATCTCTGTGCGGTGCAGTACCAAGCAGCCCACAGGCCGGTACCGATAATGGACTGCGGACCTGTAGTAGGGGGCCTGTGCCCCAGTATAGCTTTATGCTTAGCAAAAGCCCAGATAAACATTTTGATAATCGATTAATCGTTTCGACACCTTGTTTGATTGAAAATTGTCCAAAACTTCCAAATTTCATCTTCTCAAAAGTCAATATTCTCAAAATTCTCTCAACAGCAGACTGATAACTTTTTACGTTGAATTCAATGAATACATTTACAAACATCTGAAAGACTTTGTTGTTTAACTCTTGCACATGGAGATCTGAACATTTCTATTTGTTTTACCACAGGCACATGCGAAGGTGTGGCACACATATGACAAGGGCTGGAGGAGCAAACAGAAAGGTATCAAGCAACCAGAAACCAGATGACTCACAATGGTCACATAATTTTTTACTGCAGGGCGGAAACCTCTCATGCCCAAACTTGGTTAATTTTTTTTTTCCCCTCACAGTTATACTAGGGGACCTATGTGGGTCTGTTTATTTAAGAAACACGCTTTTTCCCTGTTTTCCTGAAAAGTAACGTTTTGTATGCGGAGACATGAGGATTCCGCTTGACGTCATCATGACACAAAAATATTTGTGCGCTTAGGTCTAGTCGGAATCTCGCTGACAGCTGACTGGGGTGAACCAGTGGACGCCAGCAACCAGAAAGACATTGAAGCAGCCGAGCGATACATCCAGTTCTACTTGGGATGGTTTGCCACACCCATCTTCAGGGGAGACTACCCTCAGGTTATGAAAGAATACATCGGTACGTCTTTCTCACGTGCTACGGGCTACTTACTGCTCATTTTTTACTCGGTATTCATTTGTCCTTTCACCAGTTAGGTGAAATATTTGGACAGTGACAGAGATCACAGGCTTTCAATGTTGCTTTTCGGCTAGGCCACTTAGATGTGATGATATTGTGGAACGTAGATGGTGAAATCCCAAAATTCCTTGCAATTCCATGTTGAGAAACATTGTTCTTAAACCGTTGGATTATTTGCTCATGCAGTTGTTCATAAAGCGGTGAAAACTTACCCCAACCTGACTTGTGAACAACTGAGGCTTTCGGGGACATGCCTATCATGGCACTTTCCAGTAAACTTGTTCATCCGTAGAATGTGGCAAACAGTTTTTGAAGCTTTTTTCTTTTTTTTCAGCAATCCTCAACTATCTTTTGTTTCCCCTCTCCCACTTTTCTGGGAACGCATAGGAGGCATCAAATTGAAAATGATAGCATATTTACAACAACCACAAAAAATAAAAAAATAAAAAAGTTGATCAGTTTCAACATTACATATCTTGTCTTTGTAGCGTATTCAATTGAAGATAGTTTTGAAGAGGCTTTTCAAATCATGGTAGTTCTGTTTGCATTCATATTTTACACAACGTACCCACTTCATTGAAATTGGGGTTTGCATTGTTGTGAAAGTCAGAAATTAAAACTTGAGAGTCTAAACTTTAATCATGTTTATTTCACCACCGTGATGGGATAAGGAGTGTCCCTGTCCAAATTCTTTTGGACCTTACCGGATATCCTCTCACCATAAGGCAGGAAGAGTGGCCAACAGGGCCTCGGAGCTTCGCGGCTTCCCGTATTCTCGGCGCAGGAAAAGAGTGACATCAGGGGCACCTGTGACTTCCTGGGCCTCGGGCACTTCACGACTCGCTACGTCACGCAAAAAAATTATCCATCAAGCATTGGGGACAGCTACTTTGCAGATCGGGACCTGGCGGAGCTGGTTGACCCAGAGTGGCCCGACCCTGGCTCCGAATGGCTCTACTCTGTGCCTTGGGGCTTCAGACGCATGTTGAACTTTGTCAAGGTACACATCAAAACTGCATTGTAGAACATAACTCAGATGTGAACATTCCTTCTGATTACACTCAACAAAATAAGTAACTCAATGTATTATTAAACATAATGAAACCCTCCATCCATCCATCCATTTTCCGATTCGCTTATCCTCACAAGGGTCGCTGGAGCCTATCTCAGCTGTCTTCGGGCAGTAGGCAGGGGACATCCTGAACCGGTTGCCAGCCAATCGCAGGGCACACACAGACCAACAACCATCCACGCTCACACTCACACCTCGGGACTATTTAGGGTGTTCAATCAGCCTGCCATGCATGTTTTTGGAATGTGGGAGGAAACCGGAGTACCCCGAGAAAACCCACGCAGATCTGGGGAGAACATGCAAACTCCACACAGGGAGGCCAGAGCCGAAATTGAACCCGGTATCTCTGCACTGCGAGGTCGACGCACTAACCACTGGACCACCGGACCGCCCACATAATAAAACGTTTAAAAATAAAACAAATAAATAAATAAAGATGAAATATTAAGCCTTCGAGGGACAGCGGTTAGCACCGCTGGAGAGGGCCGGCGCAGAGGCAAAGTGCGTCCGCGAGAGTGGCATCGTCGCGGGATTAAAAAAGCGTTACTGCACTGGACATTTTATCATGTTATCAGGTTACAGGGTGCATGAAAGGGTTAAACCCATTTTAAGGACACATGCTTCATACAATGGCGAGGGCAGAACAATGTGTCACATATTTGGAACTTTCTCCCACAGAGTCAGTACGGAAACCCGATGATCTACGTGACAGAAAATGGTGTATCAGAAAAGACGCTGTGCACCGACCTGTGTGATGACTGGAGGATGCAGTACTTCAAAGACTACATCAATGAGATGCTTAAAGGTGAGGCCACTATGCTGAAGATAGCACACCATTCCTGTAAACTTTTTTCGATTGATTTGTGTTCCAGCTGTAAAAGATGGGGTGAATGTGAAGGGCTACACCGCCTGGTCTCTCCTGGATAACTTTGAGTGGGATGTCGGCTACTCGGAGAGATTTGGCCTCTACTATGTGGACTTCAGGAACAAAAATAAACCACGGTACCCAAAGGCTTCAGTCCAGTACTATAAACGCATCATCAGCTCGAATGGCTTCCCCAGTCAGAGAGAGGTAACGACACACACCACATTTCAGATGATTTCTCCGTGAGACCGTGCGGGATTCATTGAGGTTCGGGGATTCCTACAGGTGGAGAGTTGGAAGAGGAAAGCAATCGAGATATGTTCTTCCAGCAATCAGCTCCTGGCAGCAGGTAAACACAATCCAGCACTTTAATTTATTATTTGTTTTTTTTTTTACAGCCGGGACTGATAAGCCAAATGGAACCAAACACAAACTTGTTACTTGGCTTTCTAATGGGGATTTTCTTTGCTTTGCCCCTCCAGCTAGAAGAAAATCCCAGGGAGGTCAGGAACATTCAGGATTGCAAAAGACTTGGCCAGTTCATGATGAAGTTTAGGTACAAGTGTTGAAATCGCAGATCTACACCATTCTCCTAGCAAACTTACTTGATTCTACTTGAATATTAACATGCAGCACATCGATGGGTTTCATAATAGCATTAGAAAAGCAATGGACGAATATATTCATAGCGATTCCTGTTGAATGACTTTGGCTAATGCAGGATTTTCATCTCACGTTCACAATATCACTCATAGTCCACGCAATCCAAAATATTACATTTTATAAAACGAACTATATGATAATGACAACAAATGACCTTTTATTATTTAAGTACTTTAAACGCTTCATTATATGCAGTATCGGTCAAATGTTTTGACATACGGTACCATCTCGTTCAATCACGAGTAATTTGTCCCAAAACATTTTAACTGACAACAGAATACAGATACTTGAGGTCCACATGCATCAGTGATGCAATTGGGCTTTCTTAAGAGAAGATAATCTTCAATTTTGATTGACTTTGTGACAGAGATATCGATGACCAAAATATTGATTTTTACGGTTGTAATTTGCTGCGTCGCCACACCAGGAGAGACGACTTTCTGATGTTCAGTCCACCTGATTTAATGGGTCAAAATAAGAATGATTCAGTGTTGTTTGGAGGAACTCAATCATGAACATTTGTGGAATAAACTCCTCTTTGACAGTGCAAATCTGGCAGGCATTACTGTCTTTTGAAAAAACAGAAACACGACTCGTGTTGAATCCTGGTCAGCGAGTATATGATAATTATTTATTTCATGTACTTTGAATGGAGGTAGTATGAAGGCAATATTTGATTTGAAATCTCAATTCATCTCATTTTAATTTGGCATGTGGAGGACAGAAGACAGCTCAGTGAAAAACAGTGAACAACAATTTGAATAAATAAGAGTCTACGTTTGTTCATCTTCTCAGAGCTCTTTTTTTTTCAACTGATAATGAAGACGTGTAGATCGGCAAAGGTTGCTGACCTTTCGGTCTGTCTTCTTCTGTGTGTTTCAGATCCGCTGATTGGCCACATGGAGATGGTGACAGAGATTGTGGTTCCCACCGTGTGTACACTGTGCATCCTCCTCGGAGCAGTCTTCCTCATGTTCCTGCTGCAAAGACGCTTTTGAGACACTCACAGATCCCCCTTTGACATTATCAGAACTCAGTGGCCCTGGAGAAATGAATGAGGTCAATCTGTGAATGAGTCAGAATCAGAAACACATACATAGTCATCAGAATTGATTGATATGGTATGCGTGTCTTGATGTTCTCTTTTGAATAAACTTTTCAGACTCTAAGTGGGATATCAAAATAGCCTCCAACTGTCATGATCTGTCTGCGAGACCGAATTAAAGTTTGCTATTTGATTTAGAAATGCGAACACCGTGGTTGCGTTGACTAGTTTTATTTGCAATGAATGGAAGCAACTGCGGCGGCCCGGTGTTCCAGTGGTTAGCGCGTCAACCTCACAGTGCAGTGGTACCGGGTTCAATTCCAGCTTCGGCCTCCCTGTGTGGAGTTTGTATGTTCTCCCCCCTGCCTGCGTGGGTTTTCTCCGGGTACTCCGGTTTCCTCCCACATTCCAAAAACATGCATCACAGGCTGATTGAACACTCCAAATTGTCCCTTGGTGTGTGTGTGTGTGTGTGAGCACAAATGGTTGTTCGTCTGCGTGTACCCTGTGAGTGGCTGGCCAGCAGTTCAGGGTATACGCCGCCTACTGCCCGAAGACAGCTGGGAAAGGCTCCAGCACCCCCCACAACCCTTGTGAGGATAAGCGGATCGGAATATGGATGGAAACAACTGCCTTTCAAACTTGTAAGACCAAAAATAAGACCAAAAATTGAACAAAACTATAAAAGCAATACACATGATTTTGCTTCAGTTTTTCATGATCTGAGTAAAAAAATTAAAAAATTAAATAAAAAAAAAACCAAAACTTTTTTATATACACCAAATGCCTGCTTCTCTCACTTATTGGCAACAAATCCTTCTACATGTATGTATTAATCATAAGCAGTTCTCCTTTGCCTGAGAATTCCATTCACCTCAGGGATGTGGCACAGCAAGCTTCACACACTCCCACACTGCAGACTTGTCCTTTTATTGTGGAGCACCTCAGGCACACCTGTGCAATAATCATTCGATCAAATCGGGATTTTGTTGTTTGTTGCAACACTGAGTTTAATAAAACAGACTTATGCGTTTAAAAAAATCTCATGCCAAAAAGTCAGTAAATTCATCATTCCACTATTTTTCTGATCCGCTTATCCTCCCAAGGGTCATGGGGCGTGCTGGAATCCACCGCAGCTGTCTTCGAGCAGTCGGCAGGGGGACACCATGAACCGGTTGCCAGCCAATTGCAGGGCACACATAGACGAACAGCCATCCACGCTCACACTCACACCAAGGGACAATTTAGAGTGTTCCATTAAGCTGTTTTTGGAATGTGGGAGGAAACCGGAGGACCCAGAGAAAACCCGGGCAGGCCCATGGAGAACATGCAAACTCCACACAGGAGGGCCGGAGTCGGGATCGAACCCGCAACCTCTGCACTGTGAGGCGGACGTGCTAACCAGTCTCCCACTTGTCCATCGAGTCAGTAAATTCTGTTTGTCAAATGATGGTGTAAAAAATGGGGCGTCTGGCTTTGACTGGGAAACGATGGGCCAGTTTCACAGAAAACACTTAAGCCTGATCCCAGGCTAACTTTCAATCAGGTGCACTTATTTTAAAAGAATCATAGAGTTTATCTGTTCTGGATTAAACAAAGAAAATTGCAAAAAGGTGGATTAGAGCTACTCTCGGACCAAAATGAAATTTATATTCATCCTGCAAAGTGGCAGCTTTAACTTCATTTTAATACTGTTTATGAAAGGGAGCGCACAGATGGTTTGGGAGCATGGAGTACAGTATTTGCAATCTAAATGAAGACCAATATCCGCTACAGAAACCAGCCAGACAAATACTCGTCGGTAGGAGTCATCAGTTGGATGAAAGAACTTTCCGAAACCGGTTTCGCATGTACAAAGAAGTACTGGATTTAACCGCTTTGCTTGAGCCTGGACTTTCCTCCATAACTCAAAGAGGAAGACCTGTACCCAGTTCTCTCCAAGGTCTGATCACTTTTAGATTCTTGGAACTTTTCATCGTGAAACTGGTGATTGGTGTGGTGCCAGTGAAGCAACAGTGTGTAGAGTAGTTCGGAATGTCTGCAGTGCCACTTGTGAACTGAGAAATTTGCACATGAAGTTCCCTGATGCTGCTGAGCAAGCAAACTATGAAGTGCGATTCTACAAATATGGGAACTTCCCAGGAGTGAATGGCTGTACCGATGGATGTCATGTTGGAATCAAGTGTCCACGAACTCCTGATGCTGAGGAGAACAGGAAGCGTAAGAACTGGTTTTCCACTAATGTTCAGGCTGCATGCTGACTGCACACTTCCAATTTAGAGTTTTTAAACATTGTTGCCCGTTGGAAAGGAGTAACACATGATTCAAGGATTTTTCAAAATTCTTCATTGTGTGCTCAGTTTGAGAGAGGTCAACGTAGTGGACGATTACTTGCTGGCAGTGAATATTCTCAGAGTTCATATTTATTCACACCATGGTCACATCCCATAACACCTTAGCAGCAAGGACACAACAAAGCTCATATTCGCACTAGAGGTTGAGTGCATGTTTGGAGGGTGGAAAAATCGATTTCCAGTCTTTATCCAATATACTTTGTTTTGGGCCAAGAAGATGCTGCAAGGTCATCATTGCTACAGCTGTGCTGCTCAACAATCTGAAGTAGCAGGATTGTCCTAACCTTCCAATAGAAGACCAGAATGATCCACATGTGCCCATGCCCGTGGCAGCAAATAACCAACGAGAACTTGCACTCAGAGCCGCTTTCACATTGCAGCGCTTGAGTGAGAAAATAGATACATTTCACTGTGGAATGCATTGATTATGGCTTGCTTTTGCCTTAATAGTGTTCGGTGTAGACAACATATGGAAATAGTGTGCTGAAAAATTAAATGAGAAACTCAACCAAGGATGTTCTAAAATGTAGGTTGTGGTGACTACAATAAATACTTGTCAAGTGAGAAAAAAATATATATTTTCACAATGTATTTCATTTCTTTACATAGGTTTCTCGTGCATCTTTCTTTGAACAGCTCTCTCTTCTAATTTGATATCTAATTCAACCTGCAGAATTCTCATTTTCATCTCACGCTCTTCTCACAAAAGCAACCTTCATGTTCCCTTTCACTACACCCATAAACCTCCTCTTTGGTCTTACTCTCGGCCTCCTGCCTGGCAGTTCAAGACTCAGCATCCTTCTCCCAATATTCTCTCTCCTTTGGACATGTCCAAACCATCTCAGTCTGGCCTCTCTGACTTTCTTTCCAAAACCTCTAAAACCTCTCCAAAACCTAAAAAATATGCACGATACGCTCGTACAAGACACTTAAACGACCCAGCTTTACTAGTCTGACATAGGCCAACTCCTGGCTTCATATAAGCCTTGTCAGTGAAACCAGGCCTATATTATTATTATATCTTCGACTCCAAGCAGCAAAGAGTTAAGGAACCTCAACGATCGTGTCGCTGTTCCACATTCAATATGGCGGGGACGTCGACGTATAACTCTGCGGGTAATTTGTTATCTATAAAGGTCTATGAAAAATGCGTTCATACCGGAAGTTGTTGTCGGAATTGTCCGTGTGTTCTTTTGCGGCGCTCGCTGGTCTGGCTGACAGGTAAGGCATATCTTTAACCTAAATTGTGCTGTATTGCATGTTAAATAGTTGCCTTGAGTCCAAGTCAGTGCGTGCCGGAACGCTACATTTGTTTTCCAAACATGCGTTCAACGCGAACGTAGCTGTGTCTGCCAAATTTAGCGTGGACGCCATCTCTTAAGAGTTGTATTGTGATTTTGTGATCATAAGTAAGGAGATGTGAAGAGCAGAGTGTTGTAAAATGACAGATGCACGTGGTGGTGTCATATAAACAGCAACAGCATTTAAGCCTTTAGCTTCATATCCTTGTTTGGTTCCCGCCATGATACTGGGGCGGAAGTGGGGGTTGATCATCGCTCAGCCACTACTGCGCATGCGTGTTTGAAACGTTCCGTTAGGTACGTTATTTGCCAAAATGAAAAGGTTGTACTGTAATCCATTTAGTGTCTGAGATTTTTTTTCTTGTTAATTTTTGACAGTGTAACTCAACCTCTATCTCTAGCCATTTCATGTTTAGATTTGACAAAGACTCATAAATAGGAATATGCATTCCTATTTACATACATACATACATTCAAAACCCAGCTCAAAACTCACCTTTTCAGACTGGCTTATTCCACTTAAATATATCTCTTGTATTTATAATTTTATCTGTGGTTTTATTTATTCTTTATTTGTCTTATTGTTTGCTCGTCTGTAACGTGTCCTTGGGTGTTGTGAAAGGTGCTTCAAATAAAATGTATTATTATTATTATTATGATTTAATTTATCTGCCTTACAAAGTCTTTTTTACCGTCTTGCTACTTACTACTCTTAAAACAGTTGCAACGATTCGTATTCCCATAACTGAAAGAAATTTAATTTACAAGTATGTCTGTTTGCTTAGAAAAAAAACTAAATAAATAAAAAAGCTGTAAGAGTAAGAATTTGTTTGCCATGAAATGTTTCTCTGCATTTCAAAAAGCCACTAGGAAACAAAACATGTGCCCATTGGTAGTTTTACCATAATGTCACACACACCTGGACACGCTACTATGTGGGAAGATTACTATTGTTTTGTTCCATTGCTATTGGATGTTTAAGAAATTTCCCATCAATGAAACATTTAAAAAACTACAGTGATAATTACATCTCACAAAAATTCTGCAGTTAAGTTTGAGCAATATTCAAACACAAAATAATATTTTGACATTTAACTGTCTTCTTTTTCAGTGAGCCCATGACTTCAAATTAGGCTTAGAAAAAAAAGTAGTGTGTTTCCGGTAACCTGACCGACCGAGAATTTCTACCTCGAAAAAAAACTTTACGGTCCGCATTTTTTTCAAACAACCTCCAAATTTAACACACATCATCATTAGTTCTACCAACAGTTAACATTAGCATTACTACACCTTGTGACGAATGTTTTATTCATAAAGGTACCATGCTACAACCACTAAATTATAGAATAACCAATACTGTTTCATAATATTTTTCATAGCGATTAGCCTACAAATCTAATGACCAACTTGCCTCGTAATCGTGCCTCTCGTGTTCTGTGCATACATCCCAGGTGAGTTTAGTGATACGCCCTTTGGACGATTCATACGAAAAATCAGACTGGCATTCCCATTTCTTAAATGTCGTAATTAGTAGACTTTTGTGAGTTTTTTTTCGCCGCCATCTCAAACTTTCATCCGCGCAATTCTTCAGTTTGCGGACTAAAATAGCAACCCGCATGCGCTCATAACGTTATCTGTTGCGTCCCCCTCAACACTGAAAACAACAAAACGAAAGTAAATTAGAAGAAACACACTCACACACCACACCACAAACACACATAGACGCACAGTGAAATCGCGTTGATCACACAGTCAAGTCGTGTGCGGTGACTTTAATGGTTAAACTATTTTTCGGTACCGTTAAAATGACGCCACGGAAACGACACGCTACCGGTAACTATTGTTACCGTTTTTTGGGTTTGTTTGTTTTGACTGAGAAATTTCCTTGCGTCCCAAAAACGCACATTATTTGGAACTGTGCGTCCCGTGGGAAAATTATGCATCTAGGACGCGGGACGCAGAGGTAACGAGATGGCTGTAACACCCAGCCGCCGGGTACCCAACTCTCTCGCCGGCGTGGGCGGCGAGCGGGGGTTTCACTGTCTCCTTGTTTTATGTTTTATGGTTATTTTGTTTACATTTTGGATGGGGGGGGGGAAGATAAAAAAAAAAAAACTTTGTCCGACCTACCGACCCTATGCTGAAATTTCATGTTACCAGAAACACACTACTTTTTTTTCTACACCTTATGTATACAATACAATACATCCTGATTTATATAGCGCTTTCACAACAGCTGCAGCTGTATCACAGTTATTCATGGTGAAGCCAAACTCCAAAATCAGCACTGGAATGAATGCATGTGCAAATGACATTGCATTTTTATGAGCTGCTTGATTCAGGAAATGTGTCATTAAGCAAGTTTTTAATTTTTTTTTTTGGCCCTTCAGTCTTTAAGAGTTGGACTTATTTAATTAATACCACCCTTACACCAAGTTTCTCCACCCATGACTTGGCAGCTACCTGGGTGAAGATCCACCATTTTCCCTCGCAGGCGAGTGACGGATGACACGGAACTGCTATTATGTCAAAGTCAAAAGCTAAGCAGACCTGCCACGTGGTTGGATGTTTAGATCGGCACACATCACTACATCGCCTCCCAGCCAGAGAGGACATCAGGGCAAAGTGGATTCATTTTATTTACAATGGAAACATCCCGTCCTCTGTCAGCAAAAATCTTGTCGTCTGTGCCAACCACTTTGCGTCGGACTGCTTTAGCAACCTCGGTCAGTATAAAGCTGGTCTGGCAATGAGACTCTTTATAAAAGATGGATCCATACCAAGTGTCCGTGGCAAAGACACGGATGAGGGAAGTGTAAGTATTCCCCCCAATTTTTTTCCCGTTCACTTAAGACATTTAGCCATGTGAGCGAGGAGAGAATTTACGACTGGCCGTATTCAATTGAAAGCAGCACATGATTTCTCCACCCACGTGCAGTTCTCGCTTTGTTAGAATTTCATCTTCATTCTTGGATTTCTTATTTATTATAATTTATTTTTTTATCTGAGCTGTGTTAATGTTATTGGATTTATTGGTATAACATCATAATTCATAATATCCTTTAATTATCGGCTTGATATTTATTGTGCATAATAGCTATAGTTGCTTGACACACCCCAAAATATTTTTGAGTGCTAGAGATTACTTAGAGACAAATTGACATGGAATATGGATGCATAAATAGTTACTGTCAATGGTTTATAGGCAACCAAGTCTGCACTGGCAGCCGTGGTACATCATGTGGCCTGCCAGACAGACCCCCCGGCAACACGCAGAGTTGGCACGCAGCTGTCCATGCAAACACTCCAACGTAACTTCAAAAGTACTGGTTTGTTAAGTTAACTTTTGTGTGTTGTGAATGTTTCTGTCTACCTGCTGTAATTTCCTTTTTTTGTGAATTTGGCCCGTCTGATGGAAACACACGTTCACAGTGACAGTCCAGGCATAAATACAAAGATAATAGAGATTGGCCACCAGAGACAGCAACGTGCTAACCATCCACCAACAATTGACAGATTACTTTGCAAGTGCATGTTTCCACATATGATGAAAATAGCTCATGCAAAAAAATATTCAATAACAACAACTATTAATGTCCTATGAGAGATCATCAGGGATGCGACACGGATCCAATTCTACCTATTTTGAAGGGAAATTATTAATTACAAATATATGATCATTAATCCATGCCAGCGACATAGTAGTGACAGGCATAGCAACTGCATGCGGTTCCTCTAGATCAGGGGTCCCCAACCTTTTTTGCCCCACGGACCGGTTTAAGTCAGACATTATTTTCAGGGACCGGCATTTAAGGTGTGGCGGAATTAATACAACAAAATAATATGGTATGAGCTGCATGAAAACTGTGGTGTTTTCGAAATATAATAATAAACACAAGGAACGTCTAATCTGGTCGCAACACTCTTATCGCTCTGGTAATGTTTAATGCCTTCAAAATACGATACAACGCAAATTCAAAGTGCATGAAAATGACGACTCACCACAGCACCGAGCTTGATTTTCTGCAATCAGACAGTCTCATCTCGGGGTAATAGGAGACAATGACACCTCAAGTGTGTGGTTTATGTCCAGTCTACTTCGTAATTTTGTTTTAGTCGCTGTTGCTGCATAAACTCCCCACCTCACACAGGTAGGATGTCGGAAATAGCAACAGTGCTATTGTGGCGATCTCAGAGTATTCAGCCATAACTTTGATCCAGTTGTTTCGAACGTACTATTAAGGCCGAAGTCATTTGCGATCTCCAAGCAGCTTTTTTTACTCATTTTGCGGACTTCAGCGTTTTGTTTATGAGCGTTATCGGTCACGTGACCGAGAAGTGTGGCTTGACTTGAGTCAAGCGTGACACAGACGGATGTAACAGAGAATCCGGTAATTTTTCAAAATAAAACACATTTCGTATTCCGAAATAAATAAAACGGAAATAAGGCAAGTTCTTTCTGTGCGGCCCGGTACCAAATGCCCTGCGGACCGGTACCGGTCCGCGGACCGGCGGTTGGGGACCCCTGCTCTAGATGGCAGAAAGTAAAATAGTCAAGTCAAGTCACACTTATTTATTCAGCCCTTATTCACAAGCAGTCTCAAAGGGCTTCTCATGCACATAGCTGACAAGTATTCACAACATCCCCCGACCTTAAACCCCAGGAGGGCAAGGAAAAAACCTAAAAAAAAACATCTGGGAAATAATGAGAAACCTTGGGAAGGGTCCGCAGATGGAAGATCGCATCTCAAATGATCTGGAACCCAATGCAAGTTGGCTAGTATTGGGGTAAAGTGATCGAACTTCCTTGTTCTCGTTAGGAGTTGAGCTGCAGCATTTTGTAATAGCTGCAAGCTTTTTGCACTGGAAAAGGGAAGACCAGAGAGCAATACGTTACAATAATCGAGGCGAGACGTAAGAAACGCATGAATTATTCTTTTTGCATGGGCAGGAGATAAAATGGGACGTTTCTTAGGGACATTGCGAAGGTGAAAAAAAAATGCAATTCTCGTTACATTTTTTATGTGCATTTGAAAAGAGAGCGTTGAATCAAATATAACGGCAAGGTTTTTGCTGAATCACTTTAGGTAATAGTACATTTAGACATTTATCGAGGTTGACAGTAGTGTCCTTGAATAGGTGCCGATGCTGACCAGGGCCAATAATCATAATGTCGGTTATATCGGTGTTAATAAGCAAAAAATTAAACGTAATCCAGTGCTTAATCTCAGCAAGGCACATTTTGAGACTACAGCAACTGCGTGAGTTAGTTATTTCTAACTGCATATATAGTTGTGTATCATTATCATAACAGTGACAACTAATGTTATATTTACGGATGATGTCACCGAGCGGAAGCATGTAAATGCTGAACAAGAGAGGGCCAAGTACCATACCCTGTGGCACTCCACATGTAACATCACAAAATCAGATGCCGTATTCATGGTGCGTCCTCTCTGAGACGAAAGAATGAAACCAGGAAAGAGCTGAGCCTGAAATAACAAATACACATTCTGAGGCGTTCTAATAGTAAGTTATGATTGACAATAAGCCTCCCCAACACATGGCAACAGACAGATTCCCATGGACCAGTAGATAGAGCTGCACTCGGCACCACACACACACACACACACACACACACACACACACACACACACACACACACGCGCGCGCGCACACAGAAAACAAGAACACGCAAGTGTAGGCGGAAAGTACAGTTACAGTGAGTACAGTACAGTATGTTCTATGTACCATTCTCAAGAATTTCATTTTTTTTTTTTTTTTTTTTTTTTAATCAACGGCTCACTGGAATCATTGTCCCACACAGAAGTAGATGTAAGAAGCTCACCCGTTGCTTCCCCAAGACCATGTAAAAGAGCTCGCATGGAACTGGATGAGGATAAGGAGAACCCACTAGAGGGCAGCTCTTTTATGGACATTCCAGACACTCTGGATCCAACCTGTGAGGACCCTGCCACAGTTTTAACTGATTCAGCAAATGCAACGTGGGTTAATAATGTCACTATTTTGATAGTTTGATTACTGTACGATTTGTTTTTTTTTAATTTAAAATATGGTAATATGGAAGTTATTATAATCTCTATTATATCTTGCTGTACTGATAGGCTGGAGTCTTCTGATTCTGTTCATAAGATGGCAGCATATATTGTCCACGAAAGGTGCCTACTGGAGCTGTTTGAGGTGTGCCCTGTGTGTCAACGGATTACTGATGTGCAGACAAGAAGCAGAAGCACATTCCTCTCTGTAGCACAGCAATGCCGACACTGTCGGTACTCCAGAAAATGGAATAGTCAGCCAATCGTTGGAGACACACCTGTGGGAAACCTCCAGCTTTCAGCTGCTGTGTATACTACAGGCTCATCTTTCTTCAAACTTAAAAAGGTAATGGATAAAGACTTGGGCTGTGTTTGCAACAATCCATTCAAAAGTACCCTATTAGTGAATTTGCGAATGTGAATTTTGGAGTGCAGTTTTAAAGTGTCGTCACTGTAGAGTAGCGCAAAATCCGTGGTGACTAATTTTTGTAATTTAATTAATCCAGGAGAAGAAATTGAGAACAGGCTCGCATTTGCAATGCAAATTCATAAAAATAAACTGCACCCTCTGCAATGTTGTAAAGTTATATTGTGTATTGATGTATTGATGTCATCGTAACATATTTACAGACTAGATGACATAACATCGTAGCACATGGTGAATAAAGGTTTCAAACTGGCAAAAAGTGCAGCAATCATGTACACTTGTATTATATTGTATTATACATTCATGTTTAAAAAAAAATTGGAAAAATTAGGTGAATGTTATGTTTTGATCATTTTAATGATCAATTCAGCAGAATGTGTAACCGATAATTAATTTTGGGTGAAAGAGACGAATCTCCTATTAATTTTAGAGAGAAGAGAATGTGTGTGGGTTTGAAATGCAAATGAGCCAGATTCCTCGGTATTTGTAGCAGGGGACAAATTGAAGAGTAGAGCCATAAAAAGACAAAAGATTTCTCCGGTGCTCGGTTTGTGGGAGGTTTCTTTTGAGGATCATGCATTTCATTTTGCTCACGTTCAGTGATAACCGGAGGCTGGGAAGAGCGTTCTGAGTGTGAATAAAAGTCATCCGAGGCGCAGGCAGGGCTGGAAGTATAAATAATTTTGTTAAGGGTGTAAAAATAGACATCGTTACCGATAGGGGTTATTGATCATATAAATATCGAAGTGTTGGACCAAGCGTAGAACTCCGTGCAGGGCTCCAGAATAACTTTTTGCACTGGTTGTTTGGTGCACCCAAATTTTCTACTGCATCGCATTCAACGCAGCAGTTTTAACAGGTTCATTCCTTTTTTTTTTTTTTTTAAAAACAAAATTATTAATACTGTCTTTTTAGATAATATTGATTGGTGAATGAATAACTAACAATTTGTCACCATCACATTCTTTATTTGAAAGCATTTGTGCTTGAAGTATGTCTTTTTATATCTTTTTTTAAGAGCAAACGACTTTCTAAGAATGAAATATAGAACAATAAACAATAAATATTTTAGCTCAATTAAAAAATATAAGTATGTCATACTCGGGCTTAAGCAACGGTTAAACATTTGTGAAAAAGCTATACTGTATAGAGTCCACGTGCCGACCACAGCCTTTCTTTTACAAACTAACAATAATTGTATAATGTGCTGATCATATCTCATTCCGACCACAGATCTTCCGGGCAATGCGGATGAAGACGTTTCCGTATGACACCTTTCGAAGACACGCACAGACGTATATCGAACCTGCTATCGTACACAAATGGAAGACTGAGCAGGCTGACATGCTGCGGCGCCTTAGTCAACAACAGAATGTTATCATAGGTGGCGACTTACTCCTTAGGTCTGACTCCCCAGGTAAGCAATACGTTTTGATGATAGCTAATAATCTTTTTGTTTTGAGAAGTGCTTACTTCCCCAAAATCTGACTCTGTGATATGTACAATGTCATTTTTGTCTGTATTTTTGAAGGCCATTCTGCCAAGTTTGGCAGCTACTCAATGATGGACCTAAGGAGCAACACCATTGTTGATGTGCAGTTGCTTCAGGTAAGATAAGAGGGGGAATTTTATTTGTCATCGTTTACTCAACTTTATGTGCTTTTTTTTTTTGTGTGTGTTCTAAGCAGAGCAATGAAGTAGGTGGAAGCAAACACATGGAGAAAGAGGGCTTGAAGAGGAGCCTTACTCTGATGGAAGAGCGTAGTGTGACTCTGCAAAGTATTGTCACAGATTGTCACCCGGACATCGAGAAATTACTGGAGGAGGCCAACATCACACATTACTATGATGTCTGGCATATGGAAAAAGGTATTGACTGTATTGTGCTCCTGTCGACAGGGAAAATGCATCAGGCTATGATACCCTTGCTCGCTTATCTACGCAGCACAATATTTGTACCATTACTATTATTGTGTTCCCATGAGTCTATCCAACATGTAATCACCCAAATATTTTGTTTTTATGAGGTCTGTCCAAGAAACTGGGGAAGATTGCGCAGAAGAAAGCATGTGAGAAACTGAACAAGTGGCTTTGCAGCATAAAGAATCATTTGTACTGGACAGCAGTTTCTTCTCCTTTTGGGCCTGAACGAGTGGCAAAGTGGACCTCGATACTTAATCATGTCCAAGACATCCACACCCATGATGATCCAGTTTTTCCTCAGTGTTTGCATTCACAAAACACCTCGACAGACAAGAGCAAATGGTTGACAGCAGGTACAGTTGTATTCCAAATAGTAGCAGTCTAACATGACTATCCAGATCACTCACCGTTTCTGATAGAAATAAGTCCGTGGAAATTTTCAGCAGGTATCGTACAGTCGTACAAAACCAACAGACCCCAACGTTTGTGTCTGTACCGTAATTGAATGTCCCACAAGCTCCCCAGCTCACAAGGCACCCGACCCCTATGGCCCGTCCCGCAGGTGGTGAGACCATGGAAAGTACTGTATTTATTTCAACAGTCATAAAAATGTATACATTTTCCCAATGTTTTGATTTTGATCAAGATGTGTAGTATGTAGTTCAGGGGTGTCAAACATACGGTCCGCGGGCTGGAACTGGCCCCCCAGGAGGTTCAATAAGGCCCGCAGGATCATTTAAAAGTGAAAAAAATGCATAAAAGACACAGAATGAACATTTTTAATACGGTGCAATTCGTGGAGTATCTGATAGGGGACACACTGTTTTGATCAGAGTCGAAGACAACATTGTTTTGATCAGAGATGATAACAACAGCAGTCTCAGTCTGTCACTGAGACAGACCCAACAACACAGCAGACGCTATCAAAGACATGTGAATACTTTATTATTTACACATTTAATAGCACTCTCCTTAGTTTCTCAGGTGTAGGCAAGGATTAAATTTTGATTTTATATGCACATGTGTAAATGGTTTAAAAATTCCTTTCTTTATAAATGTCGTTTAATCTTAAAATGCATTACTATATTTTTCAATACCATATTACTTAGTTTTGTGCCTTTGTATAATCAGTGGGATCAGTTGCACTGCATATATGTGAATGATAAAAGTAAATTGCACATTTGTCAAAGGAAGGTGCTCCATGACATGTTTTGGAAAAAAATATTTTCATTAAATTTCAACATTTTCCAAATATTCTTGTGCTTCTTTAGACCAAAACAAAGGAAAGGCATGTCACTTTGGTTATTAATAGCACAGTATGGAAAATTTTAACGGTCCGGCCCACTTGACATCTACCGAGACCGTATGCGGCCCACAATTGAAATGAGTTTGACACCACTGGTGTAGTGTGTAGTGTTCCCAATGTGTGGAAATCAAAACTATTGTAAGGATTTCTTTGAGGACATGTTGAAACACACAGTACGCTCACAGTGAAATGTTTCTTATTTACTCTTAAATGATATTTTTAATTCCCGCAAAATGTTTTTTTTAATTCATTCCCAGGAACACAAGCCTTCTGCAAATTGGAAAAAGTGCTGACAAGCAAGAAAGTTCTGAAAGATGTGCAAAGGTTGAGCCCTCACTACCAGACATCATCCCTGGAGGCTTTTCACGATGTCATTCTGTGTTTTGCACCCAAGAATGTGTTCTTTCCTTTTCTTGGAATGTTATGCAGGTAATCTGCAATTTCTAGCTTGTGACCTGAACATTCATGATGTATACTGTTTATATTTATCTACATTCAATTACAATATATACAGATACGCACTCGAGATCTTCATCTTATCTAACAATTATTATTATTGTTGGGTTTTTTTTTTGGTCTTGCCAAGACTCTACCTGGCAGCATTGCACTTCAATAAAAATGTTGGGCGCCCTCAAGCAACATCAGCTCTTGAGGAAGGGGAATGCACACCTCAACCAGGTAAAACAACCTTACCCAAGTTACAAATTATTTACCTTTTTTTTTTTTTTTTTTTTTTTTAAAAAATGTGAAAATAGCCATCATAGAAGTTGAAAATATGCGCTATTAAAGATTGTGTTCAAATGGCCCTCATAGTAAAAAGATGTAATCATGTAAGTGAAACCCATGCAGAACTGTTGACAGCATCACCGGGTTAATGCACATTTTCAAACATGTTTATCTTTTCTGGTTTTCAGATTATGTCGAGGAGGTGTTAGACCTCATTTTTGAAAAGGTGTTCCCAGATCCTGGCCCATATTGGGAAGCGGTCCTAAAGATCCCGATTCCAGAGGACCTGTCAGCCTAGTTTGATCGACTGAACAGACGGGACGGAACCTAACACTTCATGAAGTCTCACAGTTCCACATTGTGTCTGAGAGCATCTGGGAATTTTGTTTGCGTCTGCATCGTCATACAGGCAGGAATGACCAACCTGATCTGTAATCCCAACACCAGCTCGCAAACCTCCTCTCAGCAAGATATCTGTAATGGCTCTGACAAATGAACAATGTACGCTCGAATAATAATAATTTAAAAAAAAAGGGGGGGGGGAATTCAAAATTACTGTCATGTTGTCCTTTTAGTGTGACTCCTGTGAGAGCGATAGTGTGTTGTTGTAACTATATTTGTGATGATAGTGTTTGGTGTGCTTGTACATTGTATTTGTATCGGCATGAGACCAAGCCACAAGCTTTTTAATGGTATCCAGTGATTCTTAGTGTGGAACCACGAGAATAAATATTATGCAGTCGTGGTTTCAAAGCTAAACAATTAACCAATGTTCAAATGAATCAATTATTTTGTGAATTGATTAATCATTTCTAGCCATTGTTTAACTTGAAATAATTAAAATACTCCGATTTCAGCCTCTCCACAGGAAAGATTCCGTGAATTCTGTAGCCCTTCAGAAAAGCAGTTTTGACTTTTTTTTTTTTTTTTTTTTTTGTGTTAAATCAAAATGAGACATTTGCAAACATCTGTTTTTCCTTTGGAAAACAATGGTCAACTTTTTTCCCTTTATCATCCTGACATGTTACAGACCAAACCAATAACTGAACAGTGTTCTGCACTCACGGTCGCCCAAGTGATCCCAATTTTTGGGGCACCCAAAGTTCACGGACACTGGCCTGACTCGGGAATATAAATTTCATAAGTAAATTGAATGAAATACATAATTCTTGCTTTTTAAATATTTAATAAGGAATATGTGCTGTATGTTACACATAAAGCACATTTGACAATAAAGTTGTACTTGAATATTTAAAGTTTTGTGCACTTGCATTAGTCAATCATCTTTTTAACACAATAGTTGATTTGTAAACTTTTTTTTGGGGGGGGCGTCGTGTTAAGTGCTTGAAGTTAGCATGAGATGATATATTTTTACATTGATATCTGTATTTGATATTTATTGGGGGGGCTGTTGAAATGGAATTGAATTGGCGGAGGGTTATACATGCGATGATGCGAATGCGAAAGGGGTTAAGAGGTCACTCAAAAAGGAGGCGGCTGAATAAAGACTGCTGTGGAGCTATTCTCCCTCCGTCTGCTGTCCTCTCACCCGTGACCTTCGATTGGGAAATTCACACTCAGGTTGCCAAAGAAAAGAGTGTGTTACATTTGGAATTGCTTCAATGACATATACAGCACAGAAAATGTCCAATGCTAAATACTCAGATTTTATACTGTGAAAAAAAACATGCAAAAAAAAAGTCACAATACACAATATTTAATTACCGATAATAATTTAATTATATAATGAAGATACGTGGTCAGTGCCGGTTTTGGCATGGCCACCACAATATGATTCATGGGCCACCAGCCAAAAAGGCATAGGATGCTGCTGAATTCTAATCAGTTTATGGGGAAAATATTTTTGTCAATTTAATCTATTTCAAAAATCATTTTTTGTTGCGGCAGCACCGTGGATTTCACTTTTAAGTACTAAACATTTGCCGTCAATATTTTACAACTTGTTTGTTTTTCAACATTTATTGAGGTACATTAAAAAAAAGCTGATGTGCAACATATTTTAAATGAATCATTATGTTTTTTGTGTGTGTGTGTGTGTGTGTGTGTGTGTGTGTGTGTGTGTGTGTGTGTGTGTGTGTTTTTCTATTCAAGCGCACTTTTCATTTTCAAACTGCATCATGTTATAGGTGCATGTAATTCAAGATATTTTTTGGGGAATAAATCTTCGGCATCTGTTTTGTACTTAATACTTGTGCTGTCTTGATTGATTGCTTGAGCTTTTTCGTAGTTCGTTTTTATTTAATTTTTGACTTGTTTTTTATTTTTCTGAAAATGCTTTTTTTTTTCTTCAACTATATGAATTATATGTCAACTCGAAGTTAAACTTACCCCCCAAAAAGTGGGCAATAAAGTAGAATTTTCAAAAGATTGTTTGACCTTCCCTCTTCTGTTCGTGAAGCAGTACCGAAATAACTTCATTTAAAATGAACATCGAAAGCTCATGTATGGTATAAATTGAATACGAAGAAAATGAAGGACATTTTTGCTATAATTGCAGTCCGTTTTACCAACTTCATTCTCATTTTTTTTTCTTCAATTTAAGTTGTAGTTATTTCATGAGTTTCCCTTAACTATAATGACCTCGACTTGGAGAGCCAAGTATTTTTTGAGGTGGTACTTGGCGTACAAAATGAGTTGCTCACACCCATTTGCCACTTTCTGTAGGTGCTGGATATCATGGTTAAAACTCGTGAAAATGGCAGCTTTGAGACCTTCTCTCCTCTCCCTCCACCTCCGTCCCCGGGCCAGCGAGGAGACCCCTTTGGGAATGGTGAGAAGTCACACGCACAATTATATTAAAAGAATGGCACCCTTGCCCTAGTGATTGGATGATGATAATACTAATCATCTAATGCCCTCCATGACTGTGTCTTGCTGTCGATGCAGATGAAGAAGCTGGTGAGGTGTCCAAGCTTGCTGAGGTTCCCGCTGCCAAAAGGAAAGCAGTGAAGAGACCACAGCCCAAGTTGGACTCCCACAGGTTGTTGCCTCCCCTTACGTATTATGTTTTTAGATCAGTGGTTCTTAACCCGGGTTTGATCGAACCCCAGGGGTTCGGTGAATCGGTCTCAGGGGTTCGACGAAGCCTCTGCCATGGAGGTTAAGGCACACCTGACCCAACATGTCAATAAGTTATGACACGCCCACTTGGCCATCGCTGGCTGCAGATGATCACATGGCATTGCTTGTCCAATCAGTGCTGCGGGAAATTTAGTTCGCTCAGTAGTCAACGTTTGACTGTCGTGACAGTATGTCGTAAAATTGAAAAAAAACTCGTACTTATGTCTTGAAATTTTATTTACTTTTTTCTGTTTTTAATAAATGTGTTTTTTTTTTTTACATCTTGAATTTGTAAAAAAAGATATATTTGTTTTTCACTAATGAAGCGTTCGGTGAATGTGCATATGAACTGGTTGGGTTCGGTACCTCTAAGAAGGTTAAGAACCACTGTTTTAGATGGACTTTTTATACTAAGATGTTGCTTGATATGTCCCTAAATATTAACTGCTAAGCATGAACGACCCAGCGTTAAATGTTTTCTTGTTTTTTCCCTCAGACTGACGTCTGAAAAAGGACTTCCGGCTCTGCGAACACTTTTTGACGATGTCCACTTCAAAGGCAAAGGGCATGAGGTCAGACTCTCTTGTCGCATCTCTGAATGGAAACGTAGTGAGCTTCATGATGTGTGTGTGTGTGTGTGCGTGCGTGTGCGTGCGCGTGCGTGTGTGTGTGTGTGTGTGTGTGCGCGTGGTATTTCTCTCTCCAGGCGGAGGACGTGCGGCTGCTGATGCAGAAGATGGAGAACTGGGCGCACAGGTTGTACCCCAAACTTCAGTTTGAAGATTTCATTGACAAAGTGGAGAAGCTGGGCGCCAAGAAGGAGGTGCAGGTAGGACAGACACACAGACAGACGGACATTCAAACCATCCCGTTCCCTACGTCTGCAGCACTTGTAGTTGTCTGATGTTTTTCTTGCGGCAGACTTGTCTTAAAAGGATACGCCTGGACATGCCACTGATACATGAAGATTTTACTGGTAAGTGCTTCTTCGGAAACTGCGTCTTGGGTTTGTGTTTCTAAATACAGTACTGAATATTTACCATAGGTGACGATGAGGTTCCTCCCGAACCTGACATGGTGGGAGATTCCGATCCATTTAGCAGTCAGAGGTTGCCGATTCCCTCCACCCCAGCGCCCGCTGGCCCACTTGCCGCCTCCCTCACAGATGAGCAGCGCCAACGCATGGAGCTCAACAGACAGCGGGCCCTGGAGAAGAGGATCGCTCGCCAGCAGCAGCTCTCGGGTAAATGTGTCTTCATTTCAACAGATCCGAAGACAAAGCTTGTAAATGAGACTCCTTTTGCTCAGTGGAAAAGGTCTCCTCGTTTTAGAGGTCGTGGCAACTGTCATTTGTCATTCGGCAGCAGCCTGGGCACCCATCACTCAGTCTTCAGTCCATCATTGTTTCAATCCTAGCTCAACTGTAGTCGTCGGTCTCTCATCTTTAATCTTTAATTTAACTGCGTCTGTCAGAAATTTCACAGTCCATCAATCCGTCAAAAAAAAAAAAAAAGTCTTAGTTCCACAGATCCATCCATTTTCTGAACCGCTTTATCTTCACAAGGGTCGCGGGGCGACAATTTCGAGTGTTCAATCAGCCTGCCATGCATGTTTTTGGAATGTGGGAGGAAACCGGAGTACCCAGAGAAAACCCACGCATGAAGGCCCGGGGAGAACATGCAAACTCCACACAGAGAGGCCGGAGCTGGAATTGAACCTCTGCACTGTGAGGTCGATGCGCGAACCACTGGACCACCGGTCCGCCCTTAGTTCCACAGATGAAAAATCCAATTGGATTAAAATGGTAAATTGGGTGCGCGAGATACTGTGTCAATGTATCTACATCGTATGGTGACTGACAAAGAGGCTTTCTTTCCAAAGCCTAACTTACTTGCCAAGTCTATTCAATTATAAAGTACAACGGGGAGCATGCTGGTGGCTGTCTGCCGCTTTTACGAGAGTGTGAGGGGAGTATGCAATGGCTCACACGCTTAGAAGGAACATTGGCCATTGTAAATGTGGAGTGATGTCATGTTCCTAATTTAATTCCTGTATATATTGTGATCCTTCAGACTCATCATTGCAAGCAGGCGAGTCCTCCGTGAACAACTCAGAACATGCTGTCAGTGTCAACCGTTCCAAAGGACAAGAGGATGATGATGATGATGAAGAACCAGCCAGCATCAGCTACCCACAGCAGCCTATCAAGGCCTCCGAGTCATCCTCTTTGTTAGAAAGCTATGAGAGCGCCGACCCCACCGCTCAGCAAGAACAGTGACGATGCAGATGAATGCTGAATAATGTGAACTATTTGACTCAATTTAGCTTTAAATCATTGCATCCAACTGCTGTTCCTCTTTACAGATCATACATGTTGTAATTAAAAGGGATGGTTCACGATTCAAAATCTGTTGCAATAACGTCCCACTTAAAGTTGACTATCTAAGCAAATATATGCAGATTCTGTTGTGAAGTCAAGTGAAAAGAAAAGACGAAGGCATACTGCACATTTTGTTAGCAATTTCAAGTGCCCATCTTCTTTCCTGTCGAGGTTGCTTAGCTGATGATCAGAAGGAAGCCTTCTCCCCTTGTACTATAAAGCAAATTAGCTTATTGACACGTTTGAGTTTAGGTCGGGTGTTGTTTGTTTGCTTCCACACTAAACTAACACTTGTATTCAATTAAATACATGTCATTACTATACAATCTTTAAGCTTCTTCATGAAAAAGCACCACCACTATGCTTGATTTGTTGAAATTTAATCTAAAAATATATCATACATCTTGCACTACAAAACATGTCCCAAAAGCGATTAATCTAAGATTGCAAGGGAAGGTCAGTTTACCCCCAAAATGTATAAACACAACTAGCATTGTGTTTGGCGACTCTTTTCTCACTCCTCAGTCTGTGTCCTCAATGAAACGCGACAGCTGCGGAGCTTCTCTCCCGCTCAACAATCACTCAAACTCACAGCCGCTCGCACAGTAGCCTCGTGTGGCAACTTCACATGCTTGCATGCTGCACATCAGCAAAATGAGCTGCCACCACTGGTCCTCATCAATGTATCACTCATACTGGTTGTACGAACCCAATTCCAATGAATTTGGGAAATGAATTGTGTTAAACAGAAACAAAATTGGAATATAATGATTTGCAAATCATGTTCAACTTTAATTGAATATACAGTACTACAAAGACAAGATATTAACTCTTCAGGCGGCCCAGTGCTCATTGGGTCGTGCGTTGGCCTCACAGTGCAGAGGTGCAGGGTTTGATTCCGGCTGCGGCCTTCGTGTGTGGAGTTTGCATGTTCTCCCCCGTGCCTGCGTGGGTTTTCTCCGGGTACTCCGGTTTCCTCCCACATTCCAAAAACATGCATGGCAGGCTGATTGAACACTCTAGATTGTCCCTAGGTATGAGTGTAAGCGTGAATGGTTGTTTGTCTGTGTGCCCTGCGATTGGCTGGCAACTGGTTCAGGGTGTCCCCTGCCTACTGCCCTAAAGACAGCTGGGATAGGCTCTGGCACGCCCCGCGGCCCTTGTCGCGGATCACAAAATGGATGGATGGATGGATTAACTGTTCAAACTGATAAACTTTGTTTTTTAGCAAATAATTAACTTGGAATTTTATGGCTGCAGCAGGCATCCACTGTTGGTTTTCGGCCTTGCCACTTAACGTACAGTGATTCTCTGAACCTTTTGTTGATATTATGGAGGGATGATGATGACATCCCTAAAATTCTTGCAATTGTACAATTGTGCAATTGAGGAATGTTGTCCTTAAACTGCTCAACTATTTTCTCACATGGTTGTTCAACAGAGGCGAACCTCATCCCAGCTTTACTTTTGAATGACTGAGCAATTCAGGGAAGCGCTTTTTATACCCAATCACGGCACCCACCTGTTCCCTGTAAGCCTGTTCATCTGTGGGATATTTAAAATCGGTGTTTGATGAGCCTTTTCTTTTCCACCCGTCTCAGCTTTTTGGGAACGGGTTGCAGCCACAAAATTCTATTTTCATGATTATTTGCTAAAAACAATCAAGTTGGATCAGTTTGAACAGTTAATATCTTGTATTTATTGTGTATTCAATTAACTCTTTCATTACACAAGACGTACTTCTACGTCTTTTTAAAATTAGGCCCCGCCTACCAAGGACATACTTGTATGTCTATAAGTCTTTATTTTGCGCCATAGAGAGGAGGAGGGTCTGATGCAATCTGAATGAGAATAAGCCGTTTGCATTGTAAATCAAGTAAAAAAGCGACCAGTGGGTGGCAGTGGTGCCTCACGTGCTTGAAATGCATGCTTTTACAAAAAGCTCTTTTTCTCCGTTTTTTTGCCCAGGAATCGCCACTTTCCTGAAACTTAACCATTTTGTAATGCTGATTGCTGAAGAATGGAAAAAGATAGAAACAATTTTTTTATTCTGCTGAAAGAAGAGAGTCCAAACTTTATTTTGGGAGGCTCCATGTTTATATAGCATTAGAACCAAATATTCTGTGGGCCTTGCAAGATCAGTCAAAATCCAGTAAAACGCTGGGATTGAGGGGGTTGCGCCAGTGAAAATGGCTGGGATTGAATGAGTTAAGGTTGGACATGATCTGCAAGTCATTGTTTCTATTTTTATTTATGTTTACCAATGTCCCAAGAAAATTGGAATTGAATTTGTACATACAGTCACTAAAAGCTAACATATGTTTAAAAATGTGTCTTCCTGTTGAAAAAAAAAGTCTGAAAAGAGTGTAATGAGTCCACATCCAATCAGGCATTCAGAATACATGACTGTCTCAAGGCTGGAGTTGTACATTCCAGGTCCATCAGTGAAAGCTCTCGAATCTCCTCCAAGAGTAAGTAGAGGTTTGGGCTTTTGCTTTGGCAGAATTCTTGCTCCTCTCTGGACAGTTTGGGCTGGCGCGTCGCCTTCCCCCGAGCCTGTTGTGACGCCTCTTCGGCTATGCGCACCACCTCCTGAACCAGCTGGCTGCGGCCATGCGACTGAGCCTGGCCGAGCGTCACGCTCTGGTGCGGCCTGTTGCTGACGAGCTCGAGGTTGACGCTGTCGGCGTGACAACGCGAAGACTGTATGGAGATACGAACCTAAGGGAAGAAGAGAACTCAAATTGGATAACTGCTGACACAACCGCTGCTGTAATTGTTGGGAGGATATTGCTGAGTTTTTAATTTGTGCTATGGCTGCTCACAGTTTTTCAAAGTGTAAATTGTAGACAAAAGAAAGCTGTGAGGAACGGAAATTGGCAGTACACAAACACATTACGTTTGACGAGTGCACTTAGAACCTGTCTACTTTAAAAACTTGGAAGGGAACTTTAATTCGAGTTTTACCAAATCAAGTGAGTAAAGCAACTGTTGAACATTGTGTTAAGCGCATTCTTCATTCGATACAGCAAAACCATCTATTAGAAATCAACAATGGCGTACTGTAAAACTATGGCCGGGCCACTTACAGTGATGTGGCTAAACAGCGTGAAGGTGGTGATTCCGATGAGGGACGTGGTCGTAATACGGTCTGAATAGCGGTGCACAGAACCGCTCTGCCACTCGCAGCCGCCGTCCTGTCCCGCAGAAAGCACCTGACCGTCTCGGTTCTTCAGGTACACGGGCCCCTTCATGCCATACCTACGCAGGCACCATTTTGGATGTGAAATCGTGACGGCAAGAGCAAGCAAGCGTATATTCACGATTTGCTTTTCTGAACTGCTTATAAAAACAGAACTATACATACAATAATGTTAACATTTATGTACCTCGTGTGTTTCTTCGGAGGTTTTGCAAGCATAGCATCACAGAACCTGATTTTTTTTCTGGATTACAGATATCAGTAAGAATGATGAATGATTAGAAATTTTATCTCGAAGTAAACGAATATGACGTGCCATTAAGCTCTATTTCCATGAAGTAGTGGTTTGTCACACACATGATATGGCTAGCTCAGTAGCTCAGTCAAACAGTTCCATGTTGATTTGGGGCTATTTGCAATACTTGGGAAATAGGACTTGAGAAGCTCCCTGTAAGGCCAAGTTGAAAACTTACAGCGGCACAAACGCCAAGACGCCGTTGTCTCGGATGGCGTAAACGACAGCATCGGCCACACAACATTGGTCCTTGTCAGGGTCCCTTTCTTTGAAATATAGACACTGAAACAACTCAGTGGACACCTTCTGCACCTGTTGGGCTGCCTGAAAATGTCACATGACGGTCATTCCCTGAATGTACCCGACTAAGCATTCATTTCAGAACTATCAAATGTGGGAAATACTGATTTTGGAAGAGAGACAAAAGAGCTGACCCTGTTCTTCTTGTTGATATGATGAGCCAACTCCTCCAGCTCCTTGTTACTGGCTAGCGCTTTGGCAGGGCTCCGCCCACTCTCCAAGTCAATGGCTGCGGTCAAAAGGCGGTGCACCACCACATCGGCATAGCGACGAATGGGTGACGTGAAATGTGTGTAGCGGTCCAGAGCCAAACCTGAAAAGTGTCATTTAGTCACAGGCTTAGCGCAGTATGTCGTAAGAAGTAACTTTATGGCTCATTGCCTCTCAATATCCAAGGATTACTACAGGGGTGTCATGGGTCGTGTCATACATACCATAGTGGTAGTACTGGTCTTGGGAAATTGCACCGGTAGAGAAATACATTGCCTGAGACATGGCTTGGGTAGCCATCATTCTTAGCAGCCTGTTCAACAATGGGTCCTGTGGGTCCACAGCCTGGTCCAGAGAGTCAGCTAAAGCCTTATTGGACCTACACAGATACAAAGTCACTGTGTGTGTGTGCGTGTCCGTATATCCATCCATCCACCTACTTTCTAATCCGCTTATCCTCACAAGGGTTGCGGGGCGTGCTGGAGCCTATCCCAGCTGTCTTTGTGCAGTTTGCTTAGTACAACCTGAACTGGTTGCCAGCCAATAGCGAGGCACCCATGGACAAGCAAATATTCGTGCTCACAATAACACCTGGGGACAATTTGAAGTGTTCAATCAGCCTGCCATACATGTTTTTGGAATGTGGGAGGAAACCGGAGTACCCGGAGAAAACCCACGCAGGCACGGGGAGGACGTGCAAACCCCACACAGGAAAGCCGTAGCCGGAATTGAACCCTGCACCTCTGCACTGTGAGGCAGATGCGCTAACCAGACGGCCACACACACACACACACACACAGTATATATACCAGGGGTGACCATTACGTCGATCCTGATCTACTGGTAGATCTAGGACTCGTCCCAATTAGATCCGAAAGGTGTTGAGGAGAAAAAAAAAACATTTGTGTGTGTTTGAACATGTTAGTAATATATGTTTTGTGTTAACGCACACTGCACCCTAATCATCCTATCAGTCTCATTTTCCCAAAGAAAGATTTTAAAAATAAAATAAA